TTTAGCTCGGCAATCTGGAGCATTCAAGAGAAATTTGTTTCTACACTTTAGACTTTCCAACGATAATAATGACTACTTTTTGCAGCAGTATCGACTTCTTTGTTCCCAGTGGATAGGTTGTATTTTGGGGAGAAAAGGGGTGATTTTTGGGATCATATGACAGAGATATCAGCACTTTCTCATCGTTTTATGCTGAGCTCCCTTGAGCACTTTGAATAAGCCAACCACTGCTCATGTGTTGCAATAGTTTGCACGTGCCGATCTGTCTGGAGGCTGACAAGCAAGGAAGTCGGCTGAGTATATAATAGGGGGAGATGAGGGCTGAGGAGGTTTAAAAACTTACTATCTAGTGGATAGGCTAATCCCTTCTTAAACAAAAGGCTGTTTGCTTTGATTTGCATCTTCCTATACATACAGTCCTCGATAGGCCGAGTAGTCGATGGGTCACTTAAAGTCACAACTGCATGGCTTGTTTCACTTCGCATACAATACGGTCATAATTATCTTTCAGGTGCTTTCACAAGTTTAATATTTAGCTCACTCAAGTGTTAAGCTATATGTAGTGCATTGGTAACAATCAAGGGGAGCTATTTGAAGGCGTGTATAGTTGTGGTACCTCAAAGTGGTGGAGGTTTTTGCAAGGGGCAAAATAAGCCTTATCTCATTTTAGGCGCTTTCTAACTGGTAAAATTTTATGGGCGATGATGGCACGAAGTGAGCTCGAGTAGCAGAGGCAAGTTTTGGAGGAGGTGGGCAGGCACTGGAGGGAACAAATGGAATGCATTACGAGGCAAGAATAACAAAGCAAGTTAAAAAATTGCATTAGAATTCAACATCTGCTTACTGCTTACTGTGAACTTAAAAAACACATCACAAGTTGCGCTTTTACTTTCTTGAGCACCAAATAATAAGCAATGTGAACCTGTTTGTATATCTGTCTCAGTTCTATACATCTCTTCTTCCAATAATCACTAATCTCTGCCTTGGAAACCAGTAGGCATTTTACACTTCAACCTTCAGTCGGAGTTTAACAACATGTTATTGAACAGGAGCCTAATACGAGTCCATCTGCAATCACAATATATCTTGCAATACTTGGCGACTATGGGTCGTTCTAAGGTGCTACATCCCTCCTGCCTCTTTCTGCCTTTCCAATTTTCTGTTCTCCCTCACACTTTTCATGCATTCTTTTCCGATTATTCCAACGCACATAACAATATTCTTCCTCAATTCCGTTCCTTCGTTCAGCGACAAGCACAAACAAACTCGTCAATTTCTATTTCACTTTGGGAATAGTCATACCTTCTTTATAATACGTCTTCAAAAACATCTATACAGTTCCCGTTCCCCCTCCATCCATCGATCACACATCCATCCTGTATACATTCAAATACCCGTCCATCCAATGCTACTTAAATGTCCATTTACAAAAATAAAATAGCCAAGTTTATAGACCCATTCCGGACGTCTGTACTTTTGATATGCAATGAGTCTGTTTCCTAGCTTACTTAATGATTTTGCATTGGCCTCCTAGCAGGATTTAAGAGAGATCATCCTTTAATAGGAGGAAAGACAGCTCAAAATAATTATGTTAAGACCGGCATCCACTGAGCTCCTATAAGTTCCTTTAGGGGAAGAATAGCAAATATTGCACCCTCAAAAGTTAATATCACTCTTCCACA